TGTTGTAGTTGTTGTTGTTGTTGTTGTAGTTGTTGCAGCTGTAGTTGTTGTTGTTTTTGTTGTTGTTGCTGTTGTTGTTGTCGTTACTGTTGTTGTTGAGGAGGAGATCTGATTTCAGAGGGACGGGACCACACCTAGGACACCTGAGTCACTCAGGTAGGATCATGAGACCCCACCCCACACGCCGCGCCCTTTGTATAGCTGCAGCAAAAGTTAGGGGGACGTGCTGTACGCCGGGAGCTGACACATTGAATGGCCACCGCACTCCCGAGACATGAATCCTTTCAATGGTATTTATAACCTTTGAGGGTTGGGTTTTTTACAGTGTACGGAAACAACCCATAAACAACCGAAGAATTGAAACCTTATATGTTAAACATGATCCCTGAAACATTGACCTAAAACACACCACTTGGCTACTGGTATTCAAAATGTCCAGTGCTGTGTTGGAGTTATGTAAGGGTTTACGGCGCTCCCAACTGCATAAGCTCATATGAGCGTCAGGGGGTGGATGTCAACTGAAGTCCAAACGGGGAATCACACTTACTCTGCTCACCTCTCAAGCCTCAACAGCACAAAGTCTGCTTCGACTATCAAGGCACCTCAGAAAGAGCAGTTCACAAGAGAGTGACAAACACACTTAAGAAGTAATGATGATAGTAAGGATGGGGAAAGAAAAAGTAGCAGTTCCCAGTTCCCCCTATATTGTTCCGGCACAGTATGAGCATGACATTGATAAATCAGCCCTTTTACAATTCTACTTGGTATTAGAACATGTTCATACCCCCCCCCCCCTTCCTTTGGGAATGGCCCAAAGACAACTGGAGTCGGTAGCACTCCCCTGGGGGGGGGGGGGCATGTTGGAGTGTGTAACTGTCCCCGCGGTTTTCTGCCCAAAAGATTCAGAAATTCTGCAAACTGAGTCCAAAAATGTGAAATTATTCGATTCTGTTAATTTTAACAAAGAATGATAAAGGAAAATAATAAGAAATTAAGCAAAAAATGATCAAATTTTGTTTCAATTATGCGGGGTGCCTAAAACCCCGGGGACAGTTGTGTGGCGTGAAATGGTCCACATGCTGGAGCACGCTACCTTTAACAGCCTTAGAGTCTGACCTTCCTGGAGTTTATTTTGTAAAACAGGCTTAACCTTCCTGGAGTTTATTTTGTAAAACAGGCTTAACCTTCCTGGAGTTTATTCAATTTTTTTTCCAAACCTGTTCTTTAATGCACACAATGATTACTACTTGAAACAGAAAAAAATCTAGTTAAATTTTTTTGTTTGATTTTAATAAGAAGTTGCAAAAGTTTTGTGTTTCGACCTGTTTTGGTATAAAAAGTTACAAAAAAACCCAAAACGTCATTTCTTGATTTGTTGATTGATTTTCTTCACACCGGTTTTGAAAAATATGATCCCCCGCCCCTTGCGAGTTGAATGTTAGTTGCTCGAAGTTCTGTTGAAACTGGATGAAATATAACTGGATACATCTATAATTATATCAAATGTTTTGGGAGTTTTTAAGGAACCCAATACGGTAATAAACTACAACTACTATTACAACAATCAGGCATATGGGCATAAAAATGAACATACACAGCTGGGCATGAAAGGCATGATCGGGTTGGCTGCTCGTCATGTGACAAAATGAGAACACCCGTGGAACAAAAGCAAACATAGAAATGTTAATGCTCCTCGGTTGAAAAAATGGCATCACATTACCAAATCAGGAGTGGCATTCAGATTAAGTAGATCTAGTTGGTAAAAATGTTACGAAATGAATAACGTTATACTATGCTGCGGGTAAAAATAGAGCGATCACTTTGTGGTTTAGACCACGGATTAGAAGTTAAAAGGGGGAGTCTTCAGGTTTAAGAAAACAAACTGGGGTGTGTGTTGCCGCTTACCTGATTTTGTATGTGAGGCAGCGTGGTGGAATCAGGCTCTCGTCAATTTTTGGACTTGTAGAGTTATTGGTATCATCTTATAGCTTCTTCACATGTCTTTGTTTGGATGAAAAAAAAATATCCATTTATCTTGAATACAAGTCGAGATATTTGCGAATGAAGGAGGTGGGGGTACCTGTTTTCAGAGGTAATATTAGTGTGAAAATGGCCGCCAAAGATTAGTTATTTCCATAGCTTAAGAGTCCGTGGTAACTGAAAATTTACCTTTTTTGTGCCTTTAATCAACGTTTTTCAGAAAAATCCACA